GTGTGTGTGTGTGTGTGTGTGTGTGTGTGTGTGTGTGTGTGTGTGTGTAGGGGGGAATCTCGGATCCCACAGGGCAACCTTCCTGTCTTTTATCAGGGACTTTTCAGTCTGGGCCCCATTTCCTGCCACTTGTTCATTCTGGAGGAAGAGGAGCAGACAGGGCCCTGGGGAGTGTTAACCTCTGGATGGAGGCTAATTCCACAGAGGTGGATGGAGACTCAGAGACCAAGAGGCTTGACATGATCCATGTAGTGTATGGGCGATTGGTTTTGCAGCCAACGCTGGCCTATAGATGCTGGCCTGTGCACTTAGTCCATCTATTTGTATTTAATTTAAGCCCCTCCAAGCCGGATTTTATTAATATGACCTGATTTGGAAGAAAAAGAAGGTTCAGCAAGCAAATTACTAACATAGAAGTGCTTACATGGAAACAAGTATTTAACACTTGGCATATTAACAAAAATGATGCTGTCATAATTTTATCTTATCTGTTTACTAAAACAGGACGCTATGAAAACTCGTTACTTGAAGTTTTACTGTATGTCCTCAGGTCCCCTCCCCGTTTAGTGCTGGGGACTAAACCCAAGGCCCAGACCAGATGCTACACAGGTACTGTTCAACAGCGTTCCACAGCCCTCTTCACACAGCTATGAAGTAAAAAGATAACTTTATTTCTTCTATCTCAAGACTTGACCTGCAGTATAGACTTCTAAGTTAGTCTTGGGTGGTGCAATTTGATTTGAGGGATAATTAGAAGTTTGGTTTTCTCTATCAAGTATTTTAATTTTGCATAAGTCATTCAATGGAAACTGTTTTCTCTCTCTCTCTCTCTCTCTCTCTCTCTCTCTCACACACACACACACACACACATCTCTCTCTCTTTCTCTCTTTCTTTCTCTTTCTCTTTTTTCTACAAGACAGAGTCTCTCTGTTTAGCTCTGACTGTCCTGGAACTCATTCTGTAGACCAGACTGACCATGAACTCAAAGATTTGCCAGCCTCTGCCTCCCAAATACTGGGATTAAAGGTGTGAGCCACCATGCCTGGTTTGGAGCCTCAGTTTTTCATCTGTGAAATGGGAATAATAATAGTCTATGTCCCAGAGTTTTTTGGGTAACAGTCTGGGCTCCTGAAGCCCCAACAAGCTAGTTCAGCCAATTGTTCTGCTAGGCCTATTAAAGAGATGAATAACGGCTAGGCATGGTGGCGCACGCCTTTAATACCAGCCCTGGAGAGGCAGAGGCAGGCAAATCTCGAATTTAAGGCCAGCCTGGTCTAACAGCAAGTTCCAGGCCAGTAAAACCCCGTCTAACAAAAGAGGACTAGACAAAAGATGAGAGGAAATTTACTCAGTATGGTCATGCTGAGAAAAGGGAATGTAGGGGTCCAGTGACCCCTACAGCCATCTTTGTGCACTGGAATGAAGCTTCAGTTTAGATGGAGGGGAGAAGTCTGCATCACTGAGTGGTCCTAGTGAAGGTGTGGTGTCTAGCATGTTATTCACCTGTCCTTGTTTAGTTCAGGTCTGTCTGGTGAGGTGGTCAGATATGTTGTCAGAACTGGATAAAATCTCTTCCACAAGTAAATTCCTCCTCTGGCCAGAGCCAGGGCTTTAGACTTTCCCTTCCTCCACTGTGGGACTCCTGAGAAATCTTCATTCTGTGGAGTCCATTGTTTCAATAGCTTAATAGCAGAAGAAGCATCACTTCTGCTTGTGCATGTGTGTGGTGCACACTCACAACTGTGTGTGTGCTAGAATGTGGTGCACACAACTGTGTGTGTGTATGTGTTAGAATGTGAGTGCACACTTATAACTCTGTGCATGTATATTAAAATGTGTGTGGTACACACATGCCACTGTGTGCATGTATGCTAGAATGTGTGTGGTGCACACATGCCACTATGTTCATGTGCATGTGTTAGAATGTGTGTGGGTGCACAATGTCACTATGTGCATGTTAGAATATGTGTGTGGGTACACACATGCCACTGTGTACATGTGTGTGTTAGAATGTGTGTGCTGCACTCACAACTGTGTGCATGTGTGTGGTGTACACATGCTACTGTGCGCATGTGTGTGTTAGAATATGTGTGGATGCACACATGCCACTGTGCACAGTTGTATGCAGAGGTCAGAGGTTGATGTCAGGCATCTCATTAGCTGGCTTTGTAGTTTACACTTTAATCCTAGCACCTAGAAGACAGAGAGGGATCTCCGAGTTCAAGACCAGCCTGATGTACACGACAATTCCAGGCCAGCCTGGGCTACATAGTGAGATCCTCTCTCAAAATCCCAAAATGCCTTTCAAGATATGATCCAGTGAGTAAAAGCGCTTGCCACCAAGCCTGGCAGAGTATGATCCCCAGATCCATGTAAAAGTTGGAAGGAAAGAATCAATCTCTGACCACCACATATATTCTGTGGCATGTACATGTTCACACACATGCGTCTCATATTCATTCACATAGTAGTAATATTTAAGGTTTCAGCAGAGTGTTACATGCCTTTAATTTCAGCACTTTAATTCAGTAGAGGCAGTTGGAGCACTCTGAGTTCAAGACCAGCCTGGTGGACATAGCAAATTTCAGGCTAGCCAGGGCGTCAGAGTGAGACCATTTCATGTGTGTGTGTGCACATGCATATACATGCACATGCACATAAATGGGTGTGTGCAAGTGTGGCTTTGGATCTCCCAGAGTTGGAGTTTTCAGGCAGTCTTCAGCTACCAGATCTGGCTGCTGGGTTTCAAACTCAAAATCTTGAACTTTCCAGCCCAATAGTAATTTATTTTTAAGTACATATGTGAGGGGCTACATGTATGTCTGTGCACCACATATAAGCCTTGTACCCATGGAGGCCAGAAGGGACAGGGGGCTGTACAGGCAGCTGTGAGCCGCCATGTGGGTTTTCTGCAAGAGCAAGCTCTCTTGCGCAATGAGCCATGTCTCTAGCCTTTTGTCCGTCCATTTTTAAAACGATTTGAATTTGATCACGATCCCTGTCTTGTCTCCTGCAGGCCCTTCCATGCGACTTCCTGTCTGTAGCTTACACGAGGAGAGAGTAGACCGTGCATCTCCTGAGAACTCAGGCCAGTGTGGGGACGTGGAGAGGCTGCATAGGAGTGTGTGTGAACGACCGAGAGGAGCGTTCTCATGGACACTGGGGATATGCGAAGGCCCTGGGGACTTGCTGTGACCTTGAGCCTACTCACAGAGCAGTGAGTGCTAGGGAGAGAGAGAGGGACATCAGCTGCTGGACACACTGCCAGCGCTGAAAGAGGCTCCTCTGGGGAACACACACAAGCATGCACGCACACAGAGGCTGTGAGGCATGGAGAGAGCGGGACCCTCCACAGTGCGTCCTCACCTGTCCCCACTGGCTCAGCAACAGCTGCTTCTTCTTAGTCAGGGATGCCAGGATGGACAAGCGAGAAAGGGTTTCAGATTAACCGGCCTCCCTGAAGGCAGTCAGACATGGGACAGATCAAGACACCACTACTTACTAGTTGTGTATCTTTGGACAAGTAATCTGATGTCTCGGAAGGAAGCTCCGTTCCTCAGTGACAGGTCTGAAACAGAAACACCTGGCATAGACAGAGTCACACTCATGTCATGTCAAGGGACTGCCATGAAGGTGAGCACCATCCCAGCTGGTTCACACTCCTGAGACGAGTCCTTGATTCTGACTGGGTGTGGTGGCACATGTCTCTGATTCCAGCACTTGGGAGGCAGCGGCAGGTGAATCTCTGTGAGTTGGAGGCTAGCCTGGTCTACATTATGAGTTCCAAGCCAGTCAAAGCTAAATCCTAAGACCCTGTCTTGAACAACAAAAAGACTCTTGATCCCCCAGCCCCTCACAACTGGAGCGGAACCTAAGGCTTCCCACTTGCTAAACAAGTGTTTACCACTAAAGCTGTACTCTAAGTCCTCAACTCTCTTGTTTTTTCAAGACAAGGTTTCTCCATGAGCCCTGAGTGTCCTGGAACTCGCTCTGTAACCAGGATGGCCTTGAACTCTGAGATCAGCCTGCCTCTCCCTTGGCCTCCTAAGTGATAGGATTAAACCCGGGCACCACCACTGTCTGGCTGTCTTATTTTTTCAAGGCAGGGTCTAGTGCCCTGGCTGGCCTGGAACTCACAGCAGTTCACCTGCTTCCACCTCCTTAGAGCTGGTGATAAGGTGTACATCCACACATCTATTTATTTTCTTGAGATAGGTTGAATCAGTTGTCCAGGCTAGACATGAACTCACTCTGTAGCCCAGGCTGGCTTTGAGTGTGCAAGCCTCTTTCCTCAGTCTCCTAACTAGCTGGGGTTATAGGCTTGGTTCAAAAGGAGACCAAAGCCAAGACCAGAAAAATCCTACAACTGAAGTATATACGTCACATTGCTCGTTAAGAGTGCCTTAAACAGTTCACCCTGGAGCAGGACCCAGGCGCGCTGCCCACCACTGCTTCTCTGGTCCTCCACAGCAGCAGTCACACGTGTGCACAAACAGGCTCACGTTAGCTAAGGTCTCTCCTCCACCAGGTCTACCCTCACTTTGCTGCGTCTGGAGCTCGGTTGGCCGATGGGGGCGTGGGGAGGAAGACTGATGCCCTGTTCTCTCTCCTCCCCGCTTTCACGACTTCAAAGACACTGCTTCCCTGACCCCATAGTGACAAATCTGGCGTCGGGTGTTGGCTGATTCAAAGCAGCAGATACTGAGCGCTGGTCTGTTTGTTCATGCTCCATTTTCTAGCCGTCTATCTCTTACGGTAAGCACGGGGATGCTGGAGACTCGGGCTACCGAGAAGAGCTGGCTCAGGTAGTCTCTGTTTTGTAGTTGGACTCAGAGGGCATCCTATTGGCTGAATCCCTCCTCCGAGGGCTGGGACTTAGCGATGATCAGAGCAGGCACTTTTAGGGGTTCACAGAGATTAGGATGAAAGGAATAGGCTGGTGAGCAGCTTGAGGACCAGAATTTGTTCCTTTAGTCTTGAGGTACAAAATATATCAGTGTCTCATCACTGACATCTGCTCCAGGCACACAGTTAACCAGCGTTGCATCTGTCTGGAGCAGCTCTGGCTCCCTAGAGTCGGATCTTGCTCTGTAGCTCCCTTAGGAGCAACTGTCAACAGATCCAAGTCCAAGAGAGCCCCAAGATTCAAAGACGGCTCCAGTCTACTCTGGGTTTTCCCAGCTGTTTTTCTTGGCCAGAGGATCACACCCATAGGGATGCAGATAGGGAGCAGGAAGAGAACAGTAAAGTCAGATGAGCCGGAAAGGAGGCAGACGCTAAGGACATGAGGAAAGTAGCCGCCAGCGGCCCAAACACCTGAGAGAGCACACCCGAGGGCGCAGCTTCTCAAGTGCAGGTTGTGCTGGGCATGGTAAGATCCTTGCAGGTAATCCTCCTTCCCCTGGAGACCAAGATCAGCATCCTCATTGTGGACTTCCTCCTTCTAGGGCTGGGCAGAAGCCTAGGCACACGGTCGCTACCATCTGGACCTGGGATCATGTCTGCTAACAAGGGCTGGTGGGTGCCACCTGAGGGTGAGGACAACCTGTCTGGGAAGTTCCTAAGGAAGACCAGGGAGTCTCCACTGGTGCCTATAGGTGAGTTGGGGAAGAAGAGGGTTGGGGTGGATGCCTCCTCTCTTGGGACTTTGTGATTCTTGGTCTTTTTAAAGAATGAGGGCATGGTTAAAGGACACAAGTGGTCCACCTGGTGCACGAGGAACCAATTTTTCAAGACAGGTTTTCAAGCCTGTCCTGGAACTCTGTAGACTAGGCTGGCTTCGAATTCACAGAGATCCACCTGCCTCTGTCCCTCTGTCACACCAAGTGCTGGAATTAAAGGTGTGTGTCACCAGCGCCTGTCAAGGAACAAATTCTTATAAGTCTGGATGGGCAGAGGTGGCAGCTGACTGAATGCTATGTACATCGGGAACATCGGGACACAGAGTGCTAACAACAGCCTCAGGATGGGCAGCCTGGGATTGTCCCAAGATTTCCCTTCCAGTCTAGAACATGAAAACCTGTACTAAGAGTTGGGATCCAGAAGTGGGTGGAGAAGCTTAGGTGGGGGTGTAGTCATGACAACAAACCTCCTGCATATGGGGGAGGGGCATCATGAGGGTCACAGGCACTTTAAAAATGTCATTCATTTGGAAGGAAACTTCCAAACTTTGGTGCATCGAAGAATCTTAGTATCCCAGTGTCCAACCTGCAAGCTCGGAGGGGAGTTAAGAGACCCTGAACTTGGACACAAGCCTAGTGATTCTGTTCTCCACCGACAGGTGTAGGAGGCTGCCTGGTGGTAGCCGCATATCGGATTTACCGGCTGAAGGCTCGAGGTCCCACCAAGTTGTCCATACATCTGATTCACACCCGAGTGGCAGCACAGGCTTGTGCTGTGGGTGCGATCATGCTTGGTAAGCAGCATGTGGGGGTCAGAGGAAGAAGGGGGACAAAGTAGAGTGTCCTCAGTTAAGTGGTTCAAAGTGCAAGTCCTTGTGCTCACACTAGATTCCACATCAATTCCCTGATGAATCCCTATGCTGAGGCCTTTTCAGGGTCCCCACTGGTCACTGCCGCTGGGCAACGGGACAGTATGAAGATAGTCTGCTTCATGAATTTTCCCCAGAGGGGATAACAGGAAGAAGCAGCAGCTACTTGTGAGCTGGGACTGTGGGCTAGTCCCTTTCACTGGGCCTCAGTTTCCCCAGGCGTAAGAACCACCTTTGACCTGTCCACTCAGCAGACTGCTCTGTGCAGAATAGGCAGCAAAGTGCTTATAAACTCGGAGGAGTTGCTCTCCCAGAGTGCATGGATGTCTGGGGCAGAAAAATGAGCAGGGAGAGCAGAGCCACTGGGACCCCTTGAAGGATGGGGGAAGTATTTAGGGGTCGGACACCAAAGGGCACTTTCCTTCCTTTTTGCGCAGGTGCCATGTACACAATGTACAGGGATTACATCAAGAGGGTGTCAGAGGATCCTGAGAAGGAGGACCCCTGAGGTGGCTGGACGGCCCAATTCCCCAGCGGTTTCTGTATGCGCTAATAAAGCCATGTTGAAGAAAGTTAAAAGTCTTACTCCTAAGTAGAGCAGAGCAAGGGAACTGTGGCAGCTGGAGGGTGGGCCCAGTACAATGGGTGGGAACCGAAGGGCTCTGACCCCAACTAAGGGAGAGGGACTCAAGGTGCAGCAGTCTCCGAGGAGGACAAACCTCAGTTCCCAGGGTCCCAGCAACTCCTGCCCATCTCATGTCTAGCCAGAGGCAGCCTGGAATGGGAAAGTGGGGGCTGGGAAGGGGCACTGAGGCTCATGGGAACACTGAATCAGACACAGGCATTCCTTCCACCACGGCTGCCCCCCTAGGGACCCAGTCAGGAAGGCAGCTGCAGCTGGGACCAGAGGCAAATACCTCATGGGAAATCACGTACCCAGAATCTAAGTGCTTGGATTAGACAGGCAGAGGGTGGGGTGAGGGTGAACAAAAGCAGCGACCAAGGCAGAGGTCAGAATGTTCTGTTCATTTAGAAACCATGGCTAAGGTTGAACTTGTAAGAAATAAAATTCCATGTAAATCCTGAAGACAGGCCCCTTGGGGTTAAATACTGTCATCCTGTTCTCGTTCTTCTTCCCTGGGCCTAAGCTCCTCAGCTCCTTGGGAATGGAGCCAGAGGCCACAGAAGGATGCCCCTTCCTCACTGGGACACTGGCGCGGAGGTTTCTGGGTTATTCAGGGCGGCCTGTAGCAGTTCCTAGATGCTCATGGCATGAAGGCTCAGTTCCACAGGTCTCAGCTTGAGTCCAGAGCTGCAGGCACTGCAGGGAGCAGGAGTTGCCGGCCCGGCCCTCACATGGGATAATTGAGCACAACATCCTGTTTGGCAAGCTCCAGCAACATAGGATCGTCGAAGAACTTGCTGATGCTCACATCTTCACTCAGGCCCTGTGGAGAACAGGGCCAGGCACTAGGGTGAGCTCCACAGGAGGGGTAATAGCACGGGGTGAGGGGAGGAAGGCTGATCTAGACTGTTCAAGGAGTTGTTCCTTTAAGGTCCTGTTACAGCTCCTGTTCCCCTTGTGCCCTGCTCTGCTGACCTGAGGAATGTAGACACTGATCTTCCACACAGCAGTACACTGCCCTCCAGGAGGAAGAACAGCCACACACCACTCCTGTGGAGACTGGGGGTGGAGGGATATGGCAATGGATTAAAGAACACACACCTTCCTACGCCGGGTTTTGATCATGAACTCCCGGGCCAGGTGAGGAGCTGGCTGTGGCTCCAATGGGCGGATGACAATGCTCTTGTCCAGAGGATCACCAGGTACAATCTGGAGCACAGAGAGAATTCAGGGAGTTGAGGTAGCTACCCAGAAGGTTCAGGCTGTGGAACGTCATAGAGAACACCCTGGACAGAAGGGGAACTGGCCAGGAGGGAAGTCTGCTGAACTGGGAAGCCAAGGTGGCCAAATTTCCTCACCTGCCAATGATGGAAGACAGACAGGGAAAAGGCCTGGCCCTGGGTATGAGTGCGGAGATCAGTCTCAAAGCCGAAAGAGTCGATGGCTGGGATGAAAGCTTTGATGGTGTAGAGAGGGGAGCCTGGAATGGGTGCATCCTGGGTCACGTGCCCCCTGAGAGAGAAAGACAAAGGTCAAGGCCTCAGTTGTACACAGCCCCCAAGCAGAGGGCAATGGGTCTTGTGGCCCTTCTCTGTATCCTAGCCCAGCACCAAAGAAAGACCTAATGGAACATTCTCTGCAGAGGGAATGGGCTTTGGGCAGCTACCTCTGGGGAGGAGGCAAGAGCAGGGACACTGAAGAGATGGGACCCCACGGACCACCCCATCGCGGCTTCACTTTGGCACTTCTCCCAGCAGCTGGGGTGGGTAGGGTGGGAGAAACCCCAGCTGTGCCTGTGTAAAGCTAGGGGCTGCCTCAACTCTTCTCTACCTCCTGTGGAAAACAAGCTGGATGGGCTTCTGGAGTGGGAAGTGGAGAAAGCTATGGCTGGGGCCACCTCTTCCTTCCCTCCCTCGGCAATCAAGGGGCTTCTTGCTCTCAAGCCTAACAACAGGCTGCTCACCTGCGCCTGGCCAGGACTGTGTAAACAGCAGACACACAGTCTGCAGGGGCCTGGACCTCTACAAAGTAGTAAGGCTCCATCAGACGAGGAGTGGCCTGCAACAGACCAAGACAGGGCTCAGCCTGAGGAAGACTGAGTGAGGACATAAAGAGTCTCTGGATCTTCTTAGTCCTTCTGTGGTTTTACCTGGTCTTCCACTTACTCTTCTGTTCAGGGAAGCCAACAGTTCCCGACAGGTCCACTTACCATGAGGAAGGCAGAGTAAACCACCCTCCTAGCTGTGGGGATGATCTGGCCTCCACCCCGATGGAGGGGCTCCTGGGCAACCACTGCATCCAGGATCTTAAACTTGACATTTCGAATCACTGAAACAGAGATAGGAGAGCTGGGGCTAGACACAGGGCATGGGAGAACAGCAAGGTAACTTGCTACACTGAGGATATGATACAAATATCACAGGCCAGTAGCAAACAGTTGAACATGGACTTAACATTTGATTCAGCATGCTATGACAATGACACTTCCTTAGACTATGTGCTGGTTCTGGACACAGACTACATTCTAGAAATTGAATTGGTCCTAGGTAATCCAGTCTGCGTCAATAAACCACTCCCGCCTGAAAATCCTCGTGTTGTCTCTTTTCAGCACACTAAAGACAGGTTCTACTGAGGAATCAAGAGCAAATGCCAGTTTAGAAAGGCCTTCATTTAGGGTTAGACCAAATGATGGCACTGAGATCGGAAGGGAGCAGGAAGGAGGCAGGCCCAGGCTTGGGATAGCTCAGTGTATCCCAAGTTGCTTCTCCTGCTTGCTGGGTTCCAAAGATGGGAAACCCAACCCTAACTCATCACCTCATGTGGCTAGGTGCAAGTGTCTGGGGACTGGAGCCAGGAGGCGGCTGGTAGACTTACATTCATCACAGAGAGGTCCCTCCCGGGTTCCCCACTGGAAACCTTGAACAATGCTGTCCTTCACTGAGCCAAGAAGGGCCTTGTCCACCTGCACAGAAATAGGAGGCCTCCTTAGCAGCCCACAGGTAACAGCCACCAAGTCAAAAGGAAGAGAAAAGAAGGGCTGTGAGAAGGTTCTCTTTCAATAGGGAAGGACATGGCAGTTTCTTCACTCTGAGGCAAACACTGCCACGGGCCTCCCAGCCTGTCAGTTTACTCTACCTCAGAGGGCAATGTGTCATCCACAAGGATATTTGGTCCTGTAGCATCAGGACCAAAGGCCCAGATGGAACGGGCAGCCAGCAGATCCCAGTCATACTTTGTTTGGAAGAACTCGCCCAGCTTCTTTCTGGAAGAAAGAGGACAAAGTGGCTCCTGGGCCATAGATCCTTCCTCTCTGGAAGACAGTAACCCACTCTGTCCATGTCATATCCAGGACAACAGCAAAGAAGGATGGATGGCGGCAAGGGACCAGGCAAAGAGGCTGAAGTGGGAGCCCTGGAGGTGGAACCTGTCTAACCTGTTCCAGGTGATCTGGACCACTTCGTTCTCGATGTCCTCAGCCAGGCCCTTCTCAAGAGGCTCGGCAATCATGGTGATCTTGTTCCTGGTCAGAAAGGACAGGAGTAGTCAGAAGGATGAGCAGGGGTGACAACACAGACCTCTGAGACAGTAACAGACACGGAAGACTTAGAAGCAGGGGGCAGCAAAGGGTACCAATCTTCTTTGTTTTCTGTCTATTTTTTAAACGTGTATGAGTTATTTTACTTGCATTTATGCACATGAACCACATATGTGCAGTGTTCAAAGGAGCCAGACAAGGGTGCTAGATACCCTGGACTGGGACTGGGAGTAACCACGTATGTGCTAGAAAAAAGTAAAAAAAACTTTGGTCCCTCTGAAAGAGCAACAAGCACTCTTAACCACTGAACCATGCCTCCAGCGCTTCTGTCTGCTTTCTTGAAAAATAAGGCTGGGGCTGGAGAATGTAACCGGCAGCTGTATGAGGAGCTGGGTTCCACTTCAAGAATCCATTAAAAAACAAAAAGCAGCCAGGTGGTGGTGCATGTCTTGGGAAACAGAAGCAGGCAGATCAATGTGAGTTCAAGGCCAGGCTGGTTTACAGAGTGAGTTCTAGGACAGCCAGGGCTACACAGAGAAACCCTGCCTCAAAACAAAACACCCCAAAATACAAACAAACAAGCAAAAAAACCAGTTAATATGTAGGGCAAATTTTCCAAAGCTGATACGACAGCTAGGAAATTCTCAGGAAGGAATGTCGGAGCAGAAAGGGCGACAGTCTGGAGTAAACTCGAGCATCTCATCAGCCCTCACCCCGTCTCAGGAAACCCACCCAAAGCTGTGGTTGAGTGAGTGTGGGAGAGTGAGGCTGTCAGTTCCAGGTACAAGGTACAGCGTTCCCAGCTTCCATCATTTTTTCTTTCTTTCCTCTGAGATGAGGTTATATGTGTAGCCCCAAATGGCTTCAAACTTGCTATATAGATGGAGCTGACCTTGAACTTGCAGCAATCCTCCTGCCTTTGCCTTCCAAGAGCTGGGATTACAGATTTAAACCACCAAGCCTGTTTTTTTTTTTTTTTTTTGTTGTTGTTGTTGTTTTGAGACGGGGCTCACTATGTAGCCCTGACCTTGGAGCTCTCTATGTAGAGATCTAACCACATCTGTTACCTGAGTGATGGGATTAAAGGTGTGCGTACCACTGTATACCACTATGCTCCCTCCCCTTAAAATTAACAATCTCACATGGCCCAGGCTGCCCTCAAATTTGTTATATAGTTGAGGCTGGCTTAGCATTCCTGATCTTCCTGCCTCTACCTCCCAAGTGATGGGACTGCAGCCATTTGCCACCACACCTGCTTCGTCCTTTGAGCATTTGCACGTGTGTGTTTACATGTACACGTGTGTCCAAGTTGATGTTGGATATCTTCCTTTCCACATACTCTCTATCTTTTTTTTTAATTTTGTTTTTTTTTTTTTGAAGATAGACACAACAAGCCCCAGGCCAG